CACAAATTTTATGTGTGTGTAAATTATATGGACACTTAGGAAAATTTTAAGAGGCCAAAGCAATCCATGTTTTTAAGTGTTATAAACGTAATCAGTTTCTTCCCATAGTGTTTGAGGGAAGATCAAAACATTTCCAGACTTGGATTTGCCACTAACTTACAGTGTTGATTAGAGGTACCAGCACTACTATCTCTATTTTGCAAATATCACTGACGATAACAGAGTTTTGGTTTGCTGCTTCTATTCACAAGACTTGAACTCACCTCATCTGGTTCTATCAGACGCTAAAATGACTTAGTGACTGCCCTCACTTTTTAGATGCAAGTTTATCTAATAACTCCTGTAATCACATTGCCGTCTTCTGGTCCCTCAAACTTTTAGTGATTAATAAACATATTCTTCTTGGCACTAGCTTCCCTTCAATCAAAGGGTCAGTAGAAATGATGGTCTTCTATTTTTTCTCAAAGTGTCCAGGGTGGAGTGAAGAAGCAAATCCTCTGCCCAAGGCCTTCTGCCAGGCAGGTGGGCTTCATTCCTGGGTTTGCTCATCTTCCTTTGTCCACTGTGCAAATCTTTTTTAGCAGGGAGCCAACAGGAGCTTCCCTGGCTGTTACTTCTCCCTAAATTACTGCCACTAGCTTAAATCCTAAAGTGACTTAAATCCTTTCTATTAGTTTTCCTGGGGTACAATCATGCCATCTATTTAAACATGCAGAAGTGCTCCCCAAATAGAATCTCTTTTTTTTTTTTTTTTTTTTTTTTTTTGAGACTGAGTCTGGCTCTGTCGCCCAGGCTGGAGTGCAGTGGCCGGATCTCAGCTCACTGCAAGCTCCGCCTCCCGGGTTCCCGCCATTCTCCTGCCTCAGCCTCCGGAGTAGCTGGGACCACAGGCGCCCGCCACCTCGCCCGGCTAGTTTTTTGTATTTTTTAGTAGAGACGGGGTTTCACCGTGTTAGCCAGGATGGTCTCGATCTCCTGACCTTGTGATCCGCCCGTCTCAGCCTCCCAAAGTGCTGGGATTACAGGCTTGAGCCACCGTGCCCGGCTTAGAATCTCTTTACATTCTAATCTCCTTAAAACAGATGTGAATTTTATAATAAGTACAGATTGAAAATTAAATTCACACTTGATCCATAGAAGTATTCTTAAAAAGTCCAGTAACAAAAAGAGTCATTTGTCTAACATGTCTCTCCTTTATCACTAACTCTTGGCAATCACACATACTTTAACACCCTTCTCTTAATTCTCAAGCTCATTTTCACTTTATTCACCTCTCTTGGAAAAGAGTTCCTTTATCACTTAGCAAATGCAACCCATTTATACAGACAAAGGGAAACCTGTTATTCAAGTTCTTACATACTTGCCATTCCACCCTGTAGAATCTGTGTCTAAAGTAATAGCCACTAGCCACATGTGGCTATTTAAATTAAATTGAAAATTAACTTCTCAGTCTCACTAGCCACATTTCAAGTGCTCAATAGCCAAATTTCGCTAGTGTCAATAGAATTGGATGCCACAGATACAGAATATTTTCGTCCTTGCAGAAAGTTATTTTGAACAGCCCCGATCTAGATGTTTCAACTATAATAGTGGCTAGACCCTTGAGCAAACTCAAAAGGTTAATAGCAAGAAAAAAAAAAACTAAATATTGGGAAAGAGGAAAATGTATTAATTACGAATGAAAGCAACAAACAAATTCACTGTGCCTAGGAATAAGTACATAAATTTCCCCAAGTAAACAATGTTCTCCAAATCTTAACTTCTGTTTAACAATCCAACTCTCCTAAGCATTACATAGACTGGCTGGATGATAACATTTTTGGATTCTGGAACAATCTTCTATGGATTTTCAGAATAATTTTTTCAAATGATACTTATGAAGCTGCCAACCTGTTTCTTCTACTTAGGTAGAATCAAGTTTGGAAAGCTTGGACAGACAGGAAAGAGGGATGTCTCCAATTATGTTAAAACTCTTTGAATGGGGAGCCAATCGCACATCTTCCCATGGCAAGAAGGAGGCCAGCTCTCTATTTGCCAAGTATCTGTTCATCTCTTGGCTATCACTTCCCTATGAAATCAGCCTGAAACCTTCCCCTCCCTACACACAACACTGCAGGGTTCATCCCTCCTGGTGTTGTCCAACTACCCCTTCCTGTGCATACTTCCGCAACTGTGCACATCCCACTGTATTCTAATCATTTACTTACCTGCCTGTCCTCCTCATGAGCTCCTTGGGGGAAGGAAAGTGGGCGACTCTTATTTTTATTCGCAGAACCTAGCACTATTCAACACATAGAAAGTTCCTAGGAAATATTTATTAAACTGAGCTGAGGAAATGGGATGCAAAGTTGTAAACCTGCTTTTCACACTAACTATAACCCTAAGTCTTCCAGTCAGGAGTATTTAAGGTACAATCAATATGATCTTTGTTACTGTCTGCATTTAATCTGCAGACACTTGAATTAATTTGAAATATTAGCAGGAGCTCTTCCTGGCTGCAATCCATTTGGCTATTGGTAGACTATGAGTATTTTGCTGTCTTTACTATAATAGTTTCTTAATTTCTTGGTGAAAAAAATTAAGATATTTTCCAGGCCAGAACAGACTAATTAGTGAAACTGCCAAGTAAAATAAACAATGTTCAATCAGAATTCTTTAATTTTTTTCAAAATATACAAATAGATCATGGAATGATAAAATTAGGATTTGATGAGTCAAAACACAATGAAACGTACTGTCAATATTTAAGACTCAGATAAAATACTCATTCTCAGTGTGTGATGCTCCCCAGGTCCTATTGTGGGGCGGGGGGAGTGGGGAGGGATAGCATTAGGAGATATACTTAATGTAAATGACAAGTTAATGGGTGCAGCACGTCAACATGGCACATGTATACATATGTAACAAACCTGCACGTTGTGCACATGTACCCTAGAACTTAAAGCATAATTTTAAAAAAATTTAAAAAAACTTATTCTCCAAAATATCTCCAGAGAAATGGCAACTGTTTTTGTTTCTAAGAAATTTGATTTTATAAAATGGGCAAATGCTCAAATTTTAAAAGAGAAGCTTGAAATTGTCGTATATTACTGAAAGATTATTTGTTCATATGTCTTTGCTCTTGAAACCAGAATTGTAATAATCTTGACTAAAATACTAACATTAGTCATCAGAATTTAAGATATAATAACTCAGCACTAAATGTAAGTCATGAAATTAAAAAAAAATCATTTCCTAACCAGGAAATGCATGGTCTTTTTGAGTGTTTATACTGAGGGCAAGAAAGTCAACTGGACTTTTTTCCTTTCCAGGTTGGCTTGGGAACTAACTGGCTCTTTCATTTTGCATCTCCCCTTTGAATATCAATGGAACACTTCATTTTATATCATTTATGCTGAAAGACAGAATAAACCCTGTCTTCGAATGTGTTAAGGGATTCAATCTGTGGATCAATTGTGTGATTCTTCTTTATTAGAGCAATGCCTTAGAGATTATATTTGAATAAAGATTTAGAACTTCCAAATGCTTTCATATGCATTATCACATTTCATGCAAATTGTTCATATACATGATTAGCTCAATTATTCAGGCAACATCTAGCCAGTTTATATATTATTCAAAACATTCGCTCTTTTATTTTTTTCTTTCTGGCCTGAAATCTGATCATTTTCTTTCTTCTTAGACTTGTACTAGTGAGAAAAGAGCAAAGAAAAAAAGTAAAAACAAAAAATCATGCTGATCATATTTTAAACATTTATAGAGTTCTTTTAGAAAAAAATGACTGAAGATACTAAAATTGCTAGTCAAATTAAAGCTCTAGTAAGTAGAGGCATTAAATTTAAGTGATCTGAAAGTTATTCAATGTTTCCAACTTAATCAAACATAGTTAATCTATAACTTCTAATTAATAACATAATTATTTTATAATCATTATTTCCTTTATTTAGACTTGCATGGTTGGAATTATCCTTTCGCATTTTTATAGGTGGGAAAACAGAAGTATGGAGGCATGAAGGTGACCTGTCCAAGCAGAGGCCAGGATTAGAAACCAAGTCTCTTGATCCCAAGCTTAGCATCCATCCCCTGAAGCTGGTAGTCCTCAAGCTTCAGCGTGCATCAGAACCTTGGAGGGGCTGTAAAACTCAGATGGCTGGGCCCCACCCCTGAAGTTCCTAATTCAGTAGATCTGGGTGGAGCCTGTGCATTTCTGCCACATCAGAGCAGGAAAATGCTCCGGATGCCGTGGTACCTCCCTACAACCACCCACACCGCTCTGCCCCTCGCCAACTGGTCACCATCGCGATGCCTGTGCACCTCACACATGCCACATAAATGCTGCATGATCGGCTTCCGTTTTCTCACAGTACTAGGGAACAACAGATGGGTCAAATGAAACACAGAAGTAACCTTTTCCTAGGGTTTATTTTAGCTAAAATGTTTGATTCTTTTTATCTTCTAAGTCACTGAGTTTATTAAGTAAAACAAAGAGACACAGGCCAGCAAGGAAAACTGTCCCCAAGTCCCTAACCTTCCAAGGGGCCCCTTTCTGCCCTCAGAGAATCTGCACAGTCATCATGATGTAAGACATGGAGATGTCTGTCCTCTCCCCAAATGCACAATACAGTAACGCCATTTGCATCGGCCAGGACCCCCAGCTTTGTAAAGGGCAACTGGTTTGCTCTTATTCCTTAGAAATAAACAACTATCCTTAGATCATTCACTCCAAATAATTTCTTCAACCCTTCCTCCTCTTTCAGTTGCACAATATCTCACTTTAAATGGGCATTATCCTGTTAATTTTTTTTTCAAACTACACAGGAATATAGATTCTGTGCTTTCTTAGAAAAGCAGCCCAATTGTGACCCGCAGCTAATTCATTAACTGGAGAACTGAGATAACTCAATCCACAACATTCTCTATTAGATCCGAATGCTGAAAACGTAATCGCTGAAAGAAATGGATTACTGACAGTGTGTTAACGTTGAAGGTCATGGTCTTACCTATGCACACTAGATCCATAAAACCATACATTCCATAGCAGATCTGAAAAAGGATGTCCTTCCTCTGCCACACTGCATAGGGGCTGAAGGCTGACCAGAGGAGCCAAGTCACACTGGCTATTAAGAACAGGGATCCTAGGATTACAGCAATCATCTGAACTTTCTCAACCAGTGTTATAGAAATGCTCTGCCACTAAAAGAAAAACAGAGGCATGTAAGAAAGGTGCTGTGTGTAATTAAAAAAGAAAAAAAAAAACATTTTCAGTCCGGTGTTTCTTTTCATATGTCAGACCCTTTGAAATCTGATCGGTCCCCCAAATGAATTTTTTCATTTCATCCAGGCTATAAAAAAGACAAGCAGATAAAGATTAATGAATTGCCTTAACTTCATTATTTTCAGTAATTCACCATTCTGTAAGTTTAATCTAGTTTGATTCCAGATAATAGTACTGAGTGTGAATGGCTAAGGAATATTTAGTACCTGGAAATCACATTATTATCTTTCACACATGCATGAAATTAAATACGCTCTGACCATATATGGTGAGAACTTCTCTATCTGGTAATTTAGTTTGCTCTTAATACATTTGGCTACTGCAAAAAGAGGGAACTGTCTCTTGATTTTGTAGAAAAAAAATGTAAAAAGCAAATAAGTTATATAAGAACATCAGTGAAAAAGTCATTTAAGATAACACTAGGATAATCATAAAGGAAGAATAAAATTGTACATTATCTGTTATTGGTACATTCCATATACTCAGATATTACTGATTTTTTACTATCTAATGGGTAAGCCATGAAGCATTTTTGTCAAGATTTAAAATTTGTACCTACATGAAGTATCTTTGAAACTCACAAACATTTTCAGCATGTACTCTTCAGCGGGGCAAATAATTTGGTGCCAATTTGAATATTGAAGTATCAATATTCAAAAGAAATTTACAGTACAAATGATCAAAAATCCTTCAAGGCTGCTATTGACTGGAGAGGATTAATTAGTCATGTTCTCACTTTTGCATAATTGAAGCAGAAATGAAACCAGAATTGTTATTAAGGTTTGTCAGTAAACCATGAAACTCAAAACAACCTGTATAATCTCATCCTGTATGGAAGAACTCTGGCTATGGCAATATATGGCTTCTCAGAAGAATTCTTAAACAATTTTTAAAATCTTTTTTAAAATGAGCTTAAGCAATCAGTGTCCATCGGATGAATCTGAAATTTCGTCAAATGCTTTACTTACCTTCAATCTGAACTTATGTATCCCCAAATGGTAAGTTGACGACACTGATCCTCTCTCTCTCATTGTCTGTCTCTCTATCACTCTCTCTCTTTCGTACACATACCATAAATAAATACTTCACATGTAACATTTTTAAGTATGTATGTGACCTTGCATATTCATGATACTATTAAATTCTACGTTTGTTAAAGATTAAATACCAATGTACATTTGAAATATTTCATTCTCTAAAGTCATTTTCCTTATTGTTCTTTTAAAAAACAGAACCAAACAACAAAGTTTGGTGAAATACCGTGAGAAAGAGATTTCCATTCATTTTAATGTAAAGATTAATTTAGTGAGAAATGGTTTGTGCTTTTACAATTTTGAATGAGTAATAATTAAACTATTTCATAAGTGGGAGTTGAACAATGAGAACACATGGACACAGGGAGGGGGACATCACACCGGGGCCTGTTGGGGGGTGGGAAAAAAGGGGAGGGAGAGCATTAGGACAAATACCTAATGCCTGTGGGGCTTAAAACCTGGATGGTAGGTTGATGGGTGCAGCAAACCACCATGGCACATGTATACCTATGTAATAATCCTGCACGTTGTGCATCCGTATCGCAGAACTTAAATTAAAATAAAAACTAATTAAACTAGTTGGTGTTATTTTGTCATTACAAAGGAATCAAGGCTGTATCCCAAGATGTGTCTGAAGTTGTTTTATTCCAGTTTCCTGACATAATTTTAAGTACATTTATACCAAACTGCCAGGCCTTCATATCTCTAACCATTTTAAATCTGGTGTCACCAAACAGAGGTGACGTGTCAGTATCTCTTGTTCTTGTTCAGTTTTGATGCTCATTAAAATTTATTTTGAATGCAACATGGTGAGCAACGAAGAAAACAGTTATCATCCATGCTAAATGGGTGCTACCAAGTGTATACACGTTACCTTACCCTTTGGCAATTTATTAATCACATCAGATAGATGAAAACAAAGCATCCTTTAAGTCCATGAGGCGTGTGTGTGTGTGTGTGTGTGTGTGTGTGTGTGTGTGTGTGTGTATGTGTGTTTGACTTTCATATAGTGGGCTGCATGTTCAAAATGTGTATGCCTGAATTGGAGGAGTCCTAGGTAACCAACGGTGAGTAACAAGGATTCACCAAGAAGAGACTTCACTGATATCTATTTTCTGTTTGCCAATAATTCTATGATGTAATCTTAGGGGAGTTAAATTTGAATAGCTCGAAACTGCGTAATGAATTATATTTGGCTTCAATAAGACCTACTAATTAATTGATCCAAGCCTCCCTGCATGATAATTCACCACGGTGTCTGTAGACATAGTGTGGCCAGGCCCTACTGAATGCTTGGATTTGGGAGGATGGAAGTGACAGTTGGATGCATTGGCTGTAGTATTTCCTGGGACCCTGGAAATGAATGGCCAAGCACTGACCCTGAGGTGCCAGCCTCTTCCATTTTCTGTATGGCACACTTCTGACACACGAGGTGTGGCTGCTCCTAGGTGAGGAGGGTGAATGAATGAAGGGAGAGGCTCACCAGAAACAAGAAACAGGAACGCTTCACATTTGTTTTGGTGACAGCAAATTTAAATTTGTGTACAATTCAAATACCTGGTAGTTTGGAATGAACGTGTTTAAGATGATGTCCGGAAGCAAGGGAAAAAAGAACAACCCTTGATTACAGTACACTGGGAAGCTTAACTATTCACTATCATCATAGAAATTATTTTTGTTGTAAACATAAGAAGTAATTTGGGATTTCTGAAGATTATTTTTTAAAGGAGGGTAAATTGTACAAAATCTATAGTGAGCTCCCTGAAATTTTTTTTGGTTTTATAACACCCTGCTAATAATGCAAATATGTAAATGTGTTTAAAAGTAAACAGACGTTCCTCATATACTGATGAAACTTAAAATTAATGTCATTTCTGAATATTTAATGAGGACACACCGTTACTGAAACCAAAATTACTAACCTCGATTATAAAAACAGGAATTTGCCTTTGAAGACAGCTATCATCTTGGTAATTTCTCTGCCCAGTATATTTGGTGCTTTCTTATATCTACCGTTATGTGCAAAAAGGAGGGTTGTTCTCATTCTTCCACTAGAAGAAATAATTTTGCCCTTGACCACTAGAAAACACTCTCCCAGTGTCCTTGCCCTTGGAGGGCATGCATCATCTAATGGGCTCAGCCTGAAGGAGCTGTGTTAATGGGCCATTTGCTTCGATGATAAAAGTAGAAAATAAGTCACATGGGACTTCTCTCTCTATCCCAACGTTACAGCCAAAAGTTTTGGAAATAATTCAAAGGCCAGGATTTCAGTTTGTGAGATTATTTCCAAAACTTGTCAGTGAAATATTTCAATGGATAAACACACTGTCTCCTCTAAGGAGATACATAGGAGTGTGTGTGTCTGTGTGTACGTGTGTGTGTGTATGCATGTGCGCGCGTGTGTGTTGCATTTAACTTTCTTCCCACATTTGGAAAGAAAAGTAATATAACAATAGCCAGATTGGCTCCAAATAGTTGCTACTGCTCTTTCTTTCTCTCTCTCACTCTCTCTCTCTTTCTTTCTTTCTTTCCATAATAGTTGAATATGTCTGATTCTTTCATATTCCTGAAAAGCTGTTTACTTATACAAAACAAACAATTTCATTTACTGTTTCCAGCAAAAGTGGGATCAACTGGCACCTCTTTTGAAAGTTCACCCTCATTTAGTGCACTAGAAGAAGTAATTTAATAATTTACTAAATTTAATAATTTAATAATTATAGCTTATGTTTGTACAGGATTGATACATGCCAGGCACTTTTCTAAGAGTTTATTTATTTGTATTAAGTCATTTAATTCCCACAACTTCTCTGTGAGGGAATTACTATTGTTATCTCCATTTTACAGGTAAGTAAACTGAGGCAGAGAGAAGTTAAACAATGTGCCCAAGGTTACACATCTAGTGAGGACTGGAGCTGAGGTACAAACCCAGGTAGTCTGGCTTCCAGGTTCATGCTTTTACCACTTATACTAGACTACGTAATAATTCCACCGAGAGCTTTGATAACAATTAATGGCATACACCCCACCTCTGCAGTGCCATGACAATTCTCCTGATGAAGCTTCCCAGTCTGTCTTCTCTAGGCTACTGAAAGAGCTTTCTAGCTGAACTTGAAGCTGTGAGTCATTCCCTGCTCCTCAGAGTAATTCCCCGGGGTTCATTCCTAATGCAAGGGGAGCTGCCCCTCTAAGCTTCAGTGAGGAGGGCTAAATGTTTGGTTCAGCACATATCCTCAGTGTCTGGCAGAAGGATCAAAAAGGGATGGAGGGCGATTAAGAGGAAGAGAGGAAAGGAGCAGGGAAGGAGGGAAGGAAGGAAGGAAGGAAGAAAGGAAGGAAGGAAGGAAGGAAGGAAGGAAGGAAGGAAGGAAGGAAGGAAGGGAGGGAGGGAGGAGGAAGGGAGGGAGGGAGGGACGGAGGGAGGGAGGGACGGAGGGAGGGAGGGAGGGAGGGGAGGGAGGGAAGAAGGGAGACAGGGAGGGAGGCAGGGAGGGAGGGAGGGAGACCTCATATGACTCAACTTATAGAAGTCAACTTCATATGACTTCTTTTTATTCTACCAAATGCACTCTTTACTTTGGTCCCTCTGTGCCTTTGAGCACTCTCTTTCCTCGGCATGCAGCGTCTGTCTCCTCTTTTTTCAACTGATCTATCCATCCATACCTGGTACTAATGCCACCTCTTCTAAAAAGCCATCCTCTCATGCACTTCCTCTCCTAAACAGGATCATTCTATCTGGGCCCTCACAGTCCACTATTTATACTTCTGGGGAAAGCTGGCTTCCTTCCTTCACTCTCGAATCCCAGATAGCCATGTCCGTCCCCGTCGTCCCCAGACTGCAGGTTTCCCGGTGGCAGACGCTGAGTCTCATGCCCCCTCCGGTG